AATAGTTCGACCAAACGATGAAAACAAAACAGGCATGAACACACAATGTTTCGGTGTTCGGCGCCATAGACATTTTAGTAAGCCCTAAGTTTCAGTCGCCAGATTATCGTGCTGAATTTGAACCATTGGTCGCAAAGACAAAGTAAACATTTTGAGAGTTACACGTGCACCAATACATCAATTGCTCTTTGCCAGTGATGTTCAGCACTTGGATACTTTGAACTAAAGCACGATTTACTTAACTTATATGGATACCTTACATCGTTAAGTTCCATGTCAATGAGTTGATTCCTCAGGCCCCAAACCCACAGCTGAGCAGGTGACATGTTGTCTTCAGTTGAAAGAGGATGATGATTCCAACCTTCTGCAAATGTCTTTAAACTATTGTTGATCCTTTTCGTGAATACATATCTTAATGCATAGAGATGCAGATCATTCCCGATGTCTAATATTCCTTCATTTTCCATGTGGTGAAAGAGACTGTGGAATATATGTGTACAACCGCTAAATACATCCCTCCAAAGTCTTTCAATGCGTTGGTTATGGCAGCTCCTGCCAGAAATGAAGCTCCCCCTATCAGGGCCACGCATGGGATGAGTAAACATATGCCAAGCGACATCCACATTTTCCACACCTTTATCTCCACGCACTCTAGAAGGCAATCCAAAAACATCCACAGCATCAAGGAACAGTTGTAGAACTGTTTGAGCTTTATTATTGCAACTACAGTGCAGAAAGGTGATCTGGCGAGAATAACCATCAATGCATCCGTGAATGACAAAACCCCATCTAGAGTAGTAGAAAGTAAAATGAAATATAAAATAATACTACTAAATGCAAGCTGCATTCAATTTCCATCTCAAATTTGGGTGTAATACAAGCAATTAATCATCTAACAAAGTAAACAAATCAACATTCAGGTACAAGTGGTTCATATATACACCTTTAGGTATTGTATATCCACCCACATTTGCCTTATTTGGTAATATCAATTTAATTAAATGATATTTAAACCGTGTTACTATAAGAAAGTGTCCAATGGCAATAATCCTATATCTGGCAAGGGAACATACAAAAAATGGCACATTAATTGAATTCTAACCTTATTAGCTTGTGATTGCCATCTATATGCCAAAGTGATAATGGTGATCTTACATTATAGATTCTTCTTTTAAGAACATTGAATTGTAAACACCGCATTAGTATGCCCTCTGGACACACACGCTTCATACTATCTTCTATCCGGCGCCATTGAATGTGTAAACCTCTTGCTGTTAAAAAACCACGCATTCTTCGATATCCACAGTTTGGAAATACTTTTAAAATGTCTGATCTGAAAACATTATAAATAATAGAGTAACATTAATTAATATATACAATATTAAAACTGAAAAAAAATTATAATAATAACAAAAAATTCATTGCATGATCAATTATCGTTGAAACCTGAAACTAATGGACAAACCACCTGGACAATTACTTTGTACACAGTTACTTGAGTACTAGTACTTTAGTTATTGTGGCTTTTCATATTCTGCATTTTCTTCAGTGTTATGCTATACCTGAAGTACTGTTTAATAAACGAGCAGGAGTGTTTTATTAGGTTTAAAGACACGAGCGCTCAGCGCGAGTGGCTTTACTTTAGACCTAATACCATAAAAGTGGCTTTACTTTAGACCTTTACTTCAAACACGACTATACAAATTCAATAGATATACCGCCTTATTAGTATTCTTTATATAAAAAATACTAATGTGGACACGACAACAATAGATACTGCCTTATTAGTATTTTTTGTATAGAGAATACTAATTAGGAGTGTTTTATCAGGTTTAAAGCCACTGCATGTGACATGTTATAGTTTACATGATTTGCCAATAAGCTTATGAATTATTAATGAGTGTTTGAAGTATAGGTAAGCGACCATTCATTATTTATGACCGGGGGTGGGCTGGCAAAAAAGGGGGTTGGTCATGAGGTATTTTTGACCGAAAAAGGCACCTAAAAATATTGGTTCAGAAGGGGGGGGCAGTTATTTTATTATAGTGGGGAAACATTTGACATGTAAAGATTACAGAAAAATTGCACTGTGATTACAGAAAATTGCACTGCTGTTTGGGATTAACTGCACTGAAATCAACCAATCACAGTCAAGTAATATCCTTATGTATATTGTAAATAATTTCTTACATCTGTTCATCCAGTTGTTCATCTGATAGCATAGTGTAATTGCAAGACTTCAGGCCAAATTCAACAACTCGTCTTTGTATGGTTTTGCTAGCTACACCAAATATTTCTCCAATCTTTTTGAATGTGAACCTGTAATCCAAATACAACTGAAGAAGTTCTTTCGGAATGTATACTGATGGTCTTCCACGACAACCACTATGAATAAAAATGGATGTCTGTTCATTTTCTCCTCCTACAAATTTCAACTTCTCCTGTGCTATTCTTAAAGAGTTTGCAATATCATTGGGAATGTTGTACAAAGCAGAAGCTCTTTCCACAAGATTTTCAATTCTAGCTAACTGAACACAGATGTAATCGATACCATCCACATCTTCATGAATCCTCTCATTTAACTTGTTTTTAACATTCTCAATGCTGAAGTATAAACATTCTTTAAGTTCAGCAACTGGATCTGGAGCAGTTTGTTCATTATTTGGTAAACCTTCAGACATTATCCTCTAACCATGTCCCATGCCATTTTCAAGAACTTGGTTTCCTGGATTTGTAACATGTAAATAGTTATTTTGATACAGTCATGCACATTAATTGTACTATAATTGTAAAATTATTTGGCTAATTATTAATTTTGTGACAAGTCCAAAGCAAAATTATGAAACAATTGCAAATGGGTTAATTGGGTTAGACAGAGTCAATATTTTGTGTACATGTAAATAAGGACAGCCCAATTTTTTGGGCCCTGGTGCTTAATTAAATAAGGTGATACCCTGAGCTTCCTGACACAGGAAACATAGATTTCCATTGATGGATTTTTGAATTTAAAAACTGAATTCTTACCATTATTGGTTATTATAGATTTCCCATATGGTAAATTAGATACACTATGATGTTTATCAAAGTTTTTACCAATGATGGTACTGATGTATACAATCATGGTAAATCATTAACCCATTGAGTGGCAACACTCTCTACTTGATGAGTAAAATTGTCTGGCATTAGACAAAGTAAAATACTAAAGTAGGGCATATCAGGTGCATTGCCACTTGTTTGTTTGGTTAACCCATTGAGTGGCAGCACTATCCATTGATGAGTAAAATTGTCTGTCGTTAGACAGAATAAAATACTACAGTAGGGCGCATTCCCACTTAAAGGGTTAAAAACCATTAATGAAATTTAAAATATTTCCTGTGTGAGCTCATCATCATTCTCTGGTATACCTTATTCGGAAATGTACATATCATAAGGCACCGGTAAATACTTTTGTTGAAAAGAGAAATTTCAGAAACTTCAATGAACATGCATATTTGAATGATTTAAATAATCTAAATTGGGAGCAGGTTTGTCTGCATAACGACCCTAATGATATGTGGACTGAATGGTTGAATTTGTTTATGTCTGTGATTGATAAACATGCCCCACTTAAAAAGAAACGTATAGGGAAACGAAAGTCTCCCTGGATTACTTCACATGTAGTTCAGAAAATTCGCGAAAGAGATTATCTAAAAAGGCAATTCGATATTACACGTGACGATCAAATTTGGTTACAATATAAGAAAGCTCGAAATGAAACTAACAACACTATTAGGCAGGCTAAACATAACTACTTTATCACTAATATTGAGGCTGCACGAAAAGATCCAAGGAAAACTTGGAGACTAGTCAACGATCTGAACTGTCGTAAAGTGAGTGATGTAACCAGTGTCAAGAAAGTCAATCTTGACGGTAATGAAATCACTAATGCGGCTGAAATTTCGGATGCCTTTAATTCATATTTCACCTCGATAGGAGAGAAACTTGCGAACAAAATACCTAGCTCGAATGTTAATCCCGTTTCTTATATTCAATCCACACATAGTGTTTTTTCTTTCGAGGAAATTGGTTTGTCCACTGTAAATTGTTTGCTAAAAACGATTAATGCTAACAAAGCGACCGGCCCTGATAAAATCCCAGGTAGATTATTGAAAATAGCCGCTGATATTCTTTCCCCCTCGTTAACCAGAATTTTTAATAGATCGCTTTCTATGGGGATTTATCCGACTGATTGGAAAATGGCAAAAGTCTTACCGTTATTCAAAAATGGCGACAAATGTGATCTAAGTAATTATCGTCCAATTTCAATTATATCGGCGGTTGCCAAAGTTTTTGGTAGAACCGTTTATGACCAATTTTACTCCTATCTGACAAGTAACAACTTACTGTCGAACTATCAGTCAGGGTTTCGAGCATCATATAGTACCGTTACAGCTTTATTAGAGTCGGGTAATAACTGGTGCGTAAATATTGATAAGGGTTTGCTTAACGGAGTGATCTTCATTGACCTAAAGAAAGCTTTCGATACAATTGATCACGAAATTCTTATACGTAAACTCAAGTGTTATGGTGTGAATGACAATGCGCTATCGTGGTTTAATTCCTATTTAAACAATCGAAAACAGAAATGCTACGTAAATGGCAAACTCTCTGGTAGTCGTTCTATCTCCCATGGAGTTCCGCAAGGCTCTATTATAGGCCCACTTCTGTTTTTGATCTATATCAATGACTTGCCTAACTGCTTGAACGAGGGTTTACCTAGAATGTATGCTGATGACACGAACATCAGCATGCAAAGTAATAATCTTTCTGAGCTAGAAAATCTTATGAATGCTGAAATAGCCAATTTAAACACATGGCTAGAGGCAAATAAGTTAAGTTTAAATATTGCCAAGACTGAATTTATGATTATTGGATCTCGTCAAAGACTTTCAACCTTTGATAATCAGAATGTGGAAGTATGTGTTAACAATAAACAGATTAATAGAGTGCTGAAGTCTAAGTCATTAGGTTTAACAATTGATGAGAACTTGACTTGGAAATATCATGTTGATAATATCACCAAAAAAGTCTCTTCGGGTATCGGTGCTCTCAAACGAATGAGAGATTTTATTACCACAGAAACTGCAATTCGAGTTTACCAAAGTTTGGTGGAGCCCTATTTTTCCTATTGTGCCCCTGTTTGGGATGGCCTAGGTAAAAGCAAAGCGAAAAATTACAAAAATTACAGAATAGGGCCGCCCGTGTTATTACCCGTTCATCTTATGATATTTCATCAAGTTCTCTTCTTGAAGAACTTAATTGGGAATCATTGTCCACTAAGCGATTAAAGCAAAAGGCAATCCTCATGTTTAATACTATTAATAAACATACACCATTCTATTTACAAGAGATGTTTTCTCCCAGTGAGAGTGTTTATAACCTGAGAGATTCTTATGGTAAACTTTATGTCCCAAAACCACGCACAGATTATTTGAAACGCTCCTTCAGTTACAGTGGAGCCTCTTTATGGAATGGCCTGCCAGAATCTCTTAGATCAGTAACCTCTCTCGCTGCATTTAAGACAGGTTTAGAAGCCTTCTTAATAAATAATCGATCTGACTCCCACACGGCAATCAGGTAGAACAGTATCTATATTTCTTTTTGCTCCTTTTAAAATATTTTAATATTTTTGTAAATAACTATACTGATGATTTTCCGTGTTTAAATAAAGTTGATGTATGTATGTATGTATGTATACAAATGCCATACACGGGCTAGCTAGAATATTCGGCCGCCTTTTTATCGCCTTCAACAGAATAATCATGATGGAACAATCACAAGACTACAATATGTATACACATAAAGTTAAAGTATACAGGGCTGACCTTTCGTCCTTTCTGAAGGCGATTGTAATGAAATTAACATATTTTCTGATGTATTCGTCCACATGATTTTCCCACAATTTGACCATTTCATACACCCATATGCCATGGCACATATGATCAATATGGGCGAATTACTTAACGAAAACTGACGCCATACCATACATTCTATTAAATATGTATTGCATCTTTTATTTAGCGTTTTATTAATATATACCAGACAAGATACGAATAATTTGCAATGTATAAAACGAGTTATAAATATATTATAAGAAATCAGTTTTACTTGTATAATTACAAACACGAAAATCAAAATAGTACCAAACTTACCTTGTTAAAATATTAAATCCATAATTTTCAAAAATTATCCATAATTTTCAAACTAAAACTAGTATTCTTGTATACGAGCTTGCATAAAACATGTATTTAATACAAGTATAAAGTCAATAAACAATGCAACATTTGGTCACGTGTTTATTTTTGGCGGGAAAAGGTCACGCCGCGACGAAGAGACGAAACGAAACGAAGAGACGAAACGCCGCGACGAAGTGACGCGACGAAGAGACGCACGCACCGGAAACCGGGTACACGCCGCGACGAAGAGATCGAAAATATACGCCTCGACGAAGTGAGACATCGAAATGAGACATGCAAGGACGAACTAGGTAGACGCCTCGACGAAATGAGACATCGAAGTGAGACATGTAACGACGCCTCGACGAAGTGAGACATCGAAATGAGTCATGCAAGGACGAATTAGGTAGACGCCTCGACGAAATGAGACATCGAAGTGAGACATGTAACGACGCCTCGACGAAGTGAGACAACGAAATGAGACATGCAACGACGAATTAGGTAGACGCCTCGACGAAATGAGACATCGAAGTGAGACATGTAACGACGCCTCGACGAAATGAGACATCGAAGTGAGACATGTAACGACGAATTAGTTAGACGCCGCGACGAAGTGGAGAAACGACAAGCTGACACGTCCAAATGAACGACAAAACGACGGTTGACATGACGAAATGAACATTTTGTCCACGAACTGACGCCATAATTATGGTATTGGCTGAGAATTTCGAATGGGATTGACTCCTTTGCATAAAGGCACACACCTCCATGTTGGCCAATTAGGCGATCTCTTCTTACAACATTATATCCCGGAATCTGTATGACGTTATCATGTACAAAGTCAGTCAGTCACGTCACAGTAAAGCACCCGAGATCAACGTCAGTTTGTAACACCGAGTGACGAACTTCATCGATCTTGGGTGCCAAAGACATTGTATTTGATAGCATAAGACTTGGAACAGGTTCGCTAATATTCGGAATAGACGATTGTTCAGTTGGGACATATTCAGCAGAAGGTAGATTTGCTAGGGACTCACTTGTCACATGAATGTTTGAGGGGTTTAAGCCTAGGTCAACATTATTTAGCGTATTATTGCGGTGAACTTTATTGTTTAATTTAAACTGGAGGTCTGGTTGTTTGTATCGACATCAGTGGAGGTGGATACGGGAGCGGCCGAAGAGGAGGGTAAAACATTGGAAACTTCATCGGGGTAAAAAAAATTAGTTGATAGGAAAGGGGAGTTGGATTATGAACATGGGGGGGGGGGTGGAAACATATGGGGGCGAGTAGATAGGGGCTTATACAGGGGGAGGGGGCTTATATACGGGTGGGCTTATACATGGACGATCTTTTGTGTTAGTAATAAACAAGTTAGTCATAAACAGGGAGTAAACGTGTATTAAGCAGCGATTATTATAAGTAATAGCATGGCTTGAGGGAGATTAGTGATTAAATGGCCCCGTAACCCGAGGCAGATTTGCGGAATCCCTGAGGGCGAAGCCCGAGGGAATTCCGCAAACCTGCCGAGGGTAAGGGGTCATTTAATCACTAATCTCCCGAAAAGCCATGCTATTAGTTTGTAATAGCATAGTTGCGCTCCCATTTAAAAATGGACAAACATGCCCTACTTGGAATCAGCGTATTTAAGCTAAAACATTTGCTTCATTGCTTGTGGAATGTAAAAGCTTGTTGTACATGCGCACTTTTTACGCTTTAATCGGTTACGCATGCGCAATCTATCATTTAAGTACCACAACAAAAACGCTAAATATATTAGTATAAAATTGGAAACTGCACGTGCGTAATTTAAATGATGCGGCAACTCAGGGATCGGATGATAGACTATTGACGTCTCTGAGCTAACTGTTGCTGTTCCTTGCACGATTATGTGCGTGAGGCACTTGCCTATGCGTAGTCGTCAGGGACACAAAGGTGTGACCCTTGGTAACGGGCGACGCCCGCTCAAGCGGGCGATTAGAACTAATCGCGGGCGATTAGTTAGTAATCGACCCTGTTGAAACAAAAGAAACCCGGGCAACTATGCTATTACAGGGCTTATATTAATTGGGGTACTTATATTCGGGGGGCTTATATTTGGGGGGCTTATATTCGGGGGGGGGCTTATATTTGGAATGAGGTGAGCGTTAGTACATGTGGTGGGCTTATACACGGGGGAGGGGCTTATATTCGGGGAGGGGGGTTATAGTCGGAGGTTTACGGTATGTAAACAGACATATCTAATAGTTTTTCAAGTATTTATAAACAAAACAATTTAATATACTTTTTCAATACATTTAGCAATTTCAATTTGACTGTATTCAATACATGAATATTTTATATAACCCATATATAGATTCTGACATGTGCCCAGCGTCTCCCACTTTGCAGGCTGCTCCATTTACTGTTCTAGAACATTTGGAATACTGTTCTGAAAAGATATAAAATGGAGTGCACACGGTGCTCTGGAACAGAGGTGAGTTTATTACATATGCGTGCAACCATGCATTACTATATTAATTAGTTATTCGTATATAATAAGTATATGTCGAAATATAGCGGTTAACCCTTCAAAATAACGCTCTATACAGTGTGCATTGAATACACAAAATGTCGCCTCCATTTCCAATCACGTGAAAATAGGCAGTGTCACGTGTCTGTTCTGGCTGCCCCTACTCGAAAATCGGGGTAGTCAGAACAGTCATGTGATTCTCTTCTGTTCCATTCCATTCCATTAGTGTTCCGAAAATCCGGAATACTCCGAATAGTAAATGGAGCAGCTTGCCAGGGTTTTGGGGGTGAAGACCCTGGGTATGTCGGTGAGCGTTCTGTTCATTGTTATTTAAACCTAGGTTGATGTTGCATAATCTCATTAGCTTGCAAACTTTTTTTCTTCCTCGCTATGTGTGTGCAAATAATTCATTTGCACTGTGTTGTTTTGCAAACAATTTTTTAAGAATTTTCCATCCCTCCCTCCAAAAAAATAATGGTCCGTCCCTTAGTAAACTTCTGGCTATATATATAGTGACTATAGTTAAAGTCGAATTTTTATAAGATAAACAACTATAGGGGTCAATTTCAAAAGTTGTTGGGACACATCAAGTTTTAGATTGCAAGTCGATCGAGTACAGTTCGTCACCCCTCTCCCTCCCCAATCAATGTTGCGTTCTCAATTCAAACAGCAAAACACATCAAATCAAGGCACACAACATTGAATAGGGGGCGGGGGGAGGGCAACGTTTGTTGAAATTATAGATTTTTGCGCCATCTGTCCCAAGACATTTGAAACTGATTGTTTGAGCCCCTATAATCGCATTACATTATTGTATGTACGTTGTACGTTGTACGCAATATACAACATCCGCTAGTTATGCTAATGAGCGTTTCTGAATCAGACGGCGGCAATCTAACTACACGGTTAACACATCGGTTGTCACCATAAAAACATGAAATAATGAGCAACTAAAACACTTTTAAAACAGAACAAAGCTAAGAATAATCAGTTGAGAATGCCTAACAATCTATTTGCAAGAAGTTAAAAAGTTTAAAATAGATTAAACCCTATTCTAGATTGATTGGCACTTTTTCTATATATAAATATATCTGATATATCGTAGTTATTTTCTGGAGTTGTGTGTCAAAAGATACACTTTATACAATTTTACATACTTTGAAATTACGTAAAACCAGTAATATATCAATATACGCTCTGTGAACACTTTTCCGTAGTAGTTCGTGTTCGGAAATTAAATTCCTGGTGAGCTAAAATTGAAAGTGAAATCAATGAAAATAGTACCTGATTAGACCTTATGCATAATGACGTCACAAGGCTTGATGGCCGCGAGAAATCATTGCCCGAGCAATGACTATTAAGACCAGCATTCCTCGCGGGCATCAAGCATTGTTACGTCATTATGCATAAGGTCTATTTTATATTACATGCATGTTTTCATGTCAAATATGCACAATCTTTCCGCAGTCTTCAATTACAACAAACTCTTGCATTTTACTTAGCGATAATCTAGGTCGGTATCACAGGAGTTAGTATTGAAACGTACCTCTAGTTCAATGGGTACAGCTGGGTATAATCCTAAGTCTACACGGTTTATTCCTATGCTTATCCTTTCTACACTGTCTAATGTTTTAAAGTTATTCATTAGTTCTAGTCTGGTAAATCCAACTTCAATCCAAACGGTTATTCAGTAATTGAGGAGAGTAACACCAACCTTCCTATCGCCCTCATAACTTAGTCTCGAATGCTGAACTATCATTTGATCTAAAAAGAGTATATCTCCGTTTTGCCAGTGGAATCCAACAGCGCTTTCCCAAATACAACGTCGGTGATTGTCAATTTCATATTCTGCAAATTCTTCTCCATCCCCGTACGCGCTATGAGTTGGATACTCTTTGTAAGCTAACCTGAGGTCTTCATAGCATGGAATATCATCATAGTAACTTGCATGAACACCTGATAAGTGATTAAACCACAGTTGTTCCCCGCTTATGGGGTGTGCTCTAGTGGGCGATAAATTTTTCCAGTAAAACAAAGTGTTCTCTTCCCAGGAATAATTATAATTTTCATTTTTCAAAAAATTGTTAACTTTATCCTTATCTTCGGTTATAAAACGCATTTGCCAGCTTTGATAACGATTTTTATGACTATCCTTACTGTGTAGACAGTTCCAATAACGAATTTCTCTATCTTCACATTTCTGAACAAATGCTGGGTCTAAATTTACATGGAAGTCACGATTATCACAAATTGCTGTCTCGCCACCCCATTGGGACTTCTTCAAACAACTTATGCTGAAAATCTGAAATGAAATAATTAAAATGAATTTGTACAAGTTCTAAAAATATTTCCTATATACTTTGCAAAGAACTTGTATGGCATTACTTCCTTTTGATTCAAATTTGTATAGGTATTTATTATTAGCATCACAAAATTACTGAATGCTGATTGGTTGTGAAGAGTACAATAATTTCATTAATTGTACTGCAGCACAATGAATGATTTTCCAAAAACAAACAAAATGGCGGAAAGGTATTTTGAACACAAATGTGAAATGAAATTGCCCTTGAGGAACTAAATGAAAATACGAACAAAAGCACCAAATTTTCCTTTAACAAAAGAACTAAATGAAAATACGAACAAAAGTATCAAATTTTGGTACTTTGGCGAGAGAATATGATGTTGACGGAGAAGTATCCAATTTTGTCATATGCTAATAATAAACAAGTACGGCGGCGAGTCCACTTTGGCAAATTTCCAAACATCACGAGTACTATTAATCCCTAATTGGAAGAGCAACATCGCCTGATTACCTATACTTATAGAATGGTTTCGAGTGAAATTTGGAGAAACTGACATGCACAAGTGAGTTTTTCAATTTGAAGTCCTTGAAAAACTTACAGCTAGTGTATGATATTTTTCAAATTGCATGAGAAACCATACTATTACTTACTAATACTACAAAATACATGCATGCAGAAACTCTCGCCTTGCTGACAAAACCATATTGTATTTTCCGAACATGAAGTATTTAAAGTGGTTGTCATGGTAACACGATAATTTTACTAAGAAGCTGACTACGCTGAATAATATCATGGGGTGATAGCTTATACTTGTAAATATTGAAATGTTTCTGTTTCGGCAGTTTTTATTGAAAATTTTAAATTTCACCATAATCAGCAACACGATACCTTACTTCCCGTCAGCCCCTGTGCGCATAAATTAAAAGCTGGAATTGCCTATTGAAAAATGCCCTAAAAATATCAAAATTTCCCAAACATATATATGTTACGTATACAATACGTAATATAAGCTTCGATTTAATGCAAAATTTGATAAACTTTGAGTTTGAAATAAAATGATTTCAAATTCGTGCATGCAAATAAGTTTGTTTCTTTTTTATTTAAAAATTTTAATATAATAAAAAGGGTAATCAATAAAGATCGACTGACTAAAATTATATGCTTTCTTTTTTCATTTAAAATATGGACGCAACGATCAGCTTTTAAAGCAATGAAATTATATGCTTTCTTTTTTCATTTAAAATATGGACGCAACGATCAGCTTTTAATGCAATTAGCTAATATAAAGCAAACAATACATCAATATTTAAAACTCATACCTTCGTCAACGTTGGCGCCTTTGCTCCCTTCTATAGCAATTCTTTCGCCTTTTTTTTCTCAAAAAGGTTTTGAAATTTACAAAATCTTGCAAAAATGAAATATATTTGCAAGAAATCATCAAATCAAGAAATGTTTGCTATTTCGCTGTCGTTATGAAGTCGTTATAATTGGGCCAATCAGTGTTCGCTATTAATGACAGTCAGTCCGCTATATTTTAGGTGAGGATGACCACCCACGCACGGTCACCCAAGCCCGCGATTATTGATGAACTTTAGACTTCGCTAATCCTTTACTTTCCCCGGGGGTAAATAGCAGGGCGGAATTAGTACCCTCGCAAGGCGCTCCGTGCCTTTGGCTCGGGGAATATACATGAAAAAATTATGTAGTCACGTGCGTAAGACACATGGAAATAATGTATTCATTCATTTCAATTACACAACAACAGAATAAACAACAAATATACAACTGTCACTCTGCAATATTTTAAGCCAATCATGATCAGAAGTCTTAAATGGTCAATGAAATTTTCACTGTATTTCTTTTTGGCACTGTATTTGAATTTTTGGTACCGTATTTCGAAAAAATTGCAGCGCTCTTACCAAATCGGAATTAAGAAATTTTTTCATGTTTACTATTGTTGAAATTTATGTCCATATTTAATTAATTTCTTAATTTTTAATGCGACGAACCCTTATCATTTGCACTATGACATTTTTGCTGTACAGTAGATTTTCTTGTGTAACAATATAGTTACGGGGTTCGCAGCGAAATATTTTTGTTTCAACATTCAATATAGTTACCTGGATTATTAAATATTCTTACATTCGTTATTTCGATATCTTGACCGTGGCCGAAAAGAGTTACAGCTGATTCAATTAAGGTTGTCCTTCCAAAACCTTAAACCTTAAACTCTGAGCGCGCAAGGGATGATGGGTTTTCACCTATATTAGACCCTTCAACTCAGAAACTTGCCTTTGCAGGAAGTATGTTTTTTGTTGTGAGTCTTATATACGTCTCAGGCATTCTTGCAAAGCCAAATTTCAAAGTTTATGAGACTAAATAAGCAAAAACCCATCATCCCTTGCGCGCTCAGAGTTTAAGGTTTAATCCTTTGGAAGGACAATTGAATTAGCTGTATATTTTAGCGCCAAACCGAAGAGTGAAGACAATTTTCGAACTCCAAACGCTATACCCAAAAAGTTGAAAAATAAGTCAATTTCATCTGGCCAAAGTACAAAAGTGAAACTCAAGGTGCTAGAATCTTTACTGTAACTACAATTAAACTTTGGAATAGTCTTCCACTGAACATATGACGACAACTGAATGTCCGTCTTTTTAAGAGCAAACATGTAGATACAGTAGTTTGTATAGGAACAGCAACAATTTCTTTGCCATTTTTAGCAGTAATGTGCATGCATGGTGTAGTACGCAGACATGTATAATATATTCTTGTAAATATAAATACATATTGTAGATACATTCGTATGGCATTTGTTGTACATTTTAGATAAAGAAGCCTTTACCACTATTACGTATACCACCCTCATTGAAATAAAGACTCTAACTAAAATACAGTGAATTGATTCCAATAGACTTAGTGCCAAGCTCGAAATGTACTTTTCTCTAAATCAAAAAGCGAAAACAACAAATACAAACAATGAAAAAACAATGGCGAGTGTTATACATCTTTGATTTGATTCAAATCTCCGCATATATTCAGTCATTCTTCGAAAAATACACGGTAACAGTTCGTTTAATTTATTATTTTTGTCTTGGACAATGGATTGATATAATTTATAACAGAGTTCTTGTCTGCGTTCTGGTAATGTTATTCGGTTTAACTTAGCTGGCTTGTTTCATACAATGTCTGCAGAGGTAAGATTATTTTGACCGCTCTTTTTTGTACTTGTTCAATGTGATAAGACAATTTTGCGGTGAGAGAGAAGTGCCAAACTAGAGATGCATACTCTAGAATGGGACGGAAATACGTGTTAGATCAGTGGTTGAGACGCCTGACCGTATTCCGATAGCGTACAGTCTTTTCCTAGCATTTGCATAGATGTAAATGTAATTGTATGTTGGTCTCAAGTCAGATCTGAAGAGATAATAGGGCCAAGAAGTTTAAACCAAGGCACCGTTTCCACTGTATTGTTGCTGGCAGTTAGTTGGAGAAACGTTGGTTCTTCATTGAGAAAGAAATTTGTAGCCAATAGTTTACAAGAATAGAAGAATAGAATAGTTTATTAAAAATTACACTTTGTAGCTACAGAGCTACCCTGGAGCCAGAGGGTATTGTTTTCGCCTTTGTTGAATAACCCTCTGGTGAAATTGGCTGGGTTTTTCGGGTTCATTCCACACATAACTTTCAAAATTGGAAGGAAAGAGTTGATTGGTTGCTGACTATAGGTTCGATAGACTACGTGTTCTGATTGGATATTGTAAACATGATAGCCTGTTCGCAGGCGTTTCGTTAGCATGCATGCACAACACATTATTTAAAATTTTAAATATTAAACAAGAATTGAAACATTTGAAATTTAATGTCTATATTAATAAACGAACAAGACTTGAAAGAAGCTGTTCAGGGCTGCATTCATAGATAGCTAGATTTCCTGAATTAAAAGTTTACCGCGCCTGGTCCAATTTGATTCGCCGTAAAGATGTATTTTGCATTCTGCCTACCGGTTATATGGGAAGAGTTTAATATTCCAAAGTTCTAGCACCGAGAGTAGACAACGACTTGGCAAAAGCTACAATTTCCCGGAGAAACCATTTGCAAATTAAAGTGAACTGTTTCATTGACTCTCAGGGCCGTGAACTAAGAAAGCGTGGATTCCGTGTTACTTCACTGTCAAACGAAGAGGACGAGAAAGCAATAGTATAGATGGAGAGCGCCATGAGTTTACATTCCTATTAATACTTGTAATCCCGATCCAGCCATGTTGAACGTTCAAAGTACGTTGAAAAAACTAAGATACTGTACTAATAACACTAATAATTCATAAGCCAATTGGCAAATTATGTCAACCATAATATATCACGTGATGAAGCTTTATACATGATAAAAGTTATCCCAATTAGTATTCTCCATCTAGAGAATACTAATGAAACGGCATATATTGTAGCCGTACGTGTTTGAAGCTATTCAAAACAGTTGTAGTCGTGTTTTATCAAATCTATAAACTGCTCGTGCTACGCACTCGCATTTTAAATATGGTAAAACACTCCTACACGTATAAAGTTTGTTCGTTCACTGCAACCAGGTATATCAATCATGTTTCGCTCGCTACTCTGGTTTAAATAAATGATTACAAAGCCCAGTCGAATTGTAATCAAGACCCAACGTTTCGACACTCCAGTCTAGTGTCTTCATCACGGGTGAGCTATTTAAGAAGCCACGATCGCAGTTTTAGATAACCATGATGAAGACACTAGACTGGAGTGTCGAAACGTTGGGTCTTGATTACAATTCGACTGGGCTTTGTAATCATTTATTTAAACCAAAGTAGCGAGCGAAACATGACTCCTACACGTGTTTTAACTAGTACTTAAGTCTTAATTAACATTCTTTCAAGTTTTGTTGCCATTTTCCCTTGAGGTACTACGAAATAACGTTAGGCCCAAAAAAATATGTGGGTTTCCTGTTTCCCGACCCTACCTAGCTTTTGGACGCCGAAATCCCGACCCTAAACTTTTTTATTGGATCATGCTTGTACGTGTTTCCACTTGGAGGAAAACGTTTATGAAAAATGGAAATTTGAGGCAATATTAGGGAAATTTATCTTTGAATGTGGAAGCACTGACTAAACAAAATGGCGTCCGGTTGTTAGGAAAATTAAAAAAGTTTATAAAAAAAGTTAAAACCGACCTACCCTACCTAAGTTTTTACTGACAAGAAGAAATAGGAACCCACATATTTTTTTCCTTCTTGGTGCGTCTGTCCTGCATTAGTTAACAATGCATGAGTAAATTTCAATGAAGTACATGTACCTTTGGAAACCGAGGTGAGTACGCCATCTCGTTATGTGGTTCAAGGGTAATTGCACTATCATCGAGGGCGCCCTCACTGACATTAGGTTCTATCTCATTCCTCGGAGCGATCCCACCAACATAGGAAAATGGTTCATAACCCAAGTTATTTGCCCACTCAGAGAAGTCTCTTTCATTCGCATTCGGCAGGCCACGAAATAATATAGCAACAGCTGTGCCATTTTTCTCATACCTTTTATTAAAAATAACAAGAACAGCAGAGCTTTAACCGAACTGTAACAAAAAATATTGTAACGCGTCATCGGCTACTCGTTGCAATTTTAGGCTGTAATTAACAATTTTGTTGAAAAGGTTGCGAGTACGAGTACGATGTTCGATCACGAGTACGATGTTCGTTTATTTGTAAACTAACAAAAAGAGCAGGGGCTGGTTGTTCAAAGGTGGGTTAGGGGTAACCTTGGGTAAAATTTAACCCGCTGTTCTAGTTAATTTGTGTATTTCGGTACGTCTGTTTATTTCAAAACTTCAGAGAAGTAATTAAACTCCTATCGATCCAGACAAGAACTCCGTAAAAATATTGCAAAATTTATAGACACGCTGTCAGGAAGTTTGCTTTGAATTTTAAATTAACCTAGGGTTAAGCTAACCCGGCTTTGAACAACCGGTCCCAGGGCTGCAAACACTCGTTACTATAATGATTGTAACGGGTTTACCAGATACGTGTTGCAATTTGCTGTAATTATTTACTTTTGTTGAAAAGGAACGGGAAAGGTAATTAATATAGAGAGCATTAGATTTTGGGACGAACACGACCACGACTATACGAAATTCGTTTACTTGTATACGCCATTTTCTTACGCTGCCGTCTTACGCCATCACGTACGGTACCCGGATATTGGGCCGAAAGACACTTTGCCGAAAGATATTTTGCCTTTTGCGCAGAGGCGTAGCCAGGATTTTCGGTCAGAGGGGGCCGGCAAAAACCCAGGTGGGGCCAAGCCGCCAATGACCCGAGACGCAAAGTTCGCGCAAGAAAAAATTTTGCGGACCACACAACATTTTAAATCTCCCCCTCCCCCCCCCTTTTTCGGTAAAAAATTTTTCTGGACGATAACATTACAATTGCTTTCATAGCACTTTTCCGAATTTCCATATCACTTTTTCCGATGCTTCACCACAAAGATTCCGACAACATCAGAGAGTTTGAGCAAGAGAACGAAGTCGGACGACGACGACGTGGACCGTGGTTGACAATTTTTGCCTGTCTTGCACATTATCCTACGCATTCTGAGTTTAGGGTCAGGCGTGAAGACAGATTAGAGATTTATGTCTAGCTGTTTATGAATGCGGGACTAGCTAACAGTCGTGGGTCGTGGGTAAAAGGTCGTGGTCGTGGGTAAAAAGTCGTGGGTTGTGGGTAAAAAGTCGTGGCTCGTGGGTAAAAAGTCGTGGGTCCCGAGAAAAAAGTCGTGGGTCCCGAATAAGAAGTCGTGGGTCCTGAGAAAATGGCTTGGGTTCCAAACAAAATATTTCCATATATTTACCTTTCTCCCTTTGGCTTTGGAATGCGTGTTTTTTTTTCTTCCGAGGCTTTCCTAAATATACATAGTCTTAGAGCGCGTTATCGGCAGATCGGTTTATAAATATTACTAGAAGTTACTAACGCAAGGAATTGCTGCCTCACGGCCAAAACTTTGGGTTAGGTTGTTCAAAATCTGTTTATAATCCGTGGATAATTTCAAACTAAATAACACTATATATAATGGAAACAGAACACTACTATAATTTTTAAACAATGAAAATCATATTTTATTGTAAGAATCGCGTGCATACTATGTTACAACAATATTCTAATTATCTAAAATTAAGAAAACAGTTCTCTGTAACGAAACAGGTCATTTTCTGAGCACTCCAAACAATAGTAGCTAATAAAAATTAAGAAATTATGGGTCATTCCACGGCTTATTTCTCCGACAATATATGTATGTAACCCGCAGGGCTACCTCCACACATTTAGCTATTTATTATACGATTGTCACTAAGGTTAATGTCACTAATATTCCTAGACACAAAGTCAAGTGTGGTCACTTCTAGAGTAACATTAACCTGGAATGACTCACAGTTAATAATACTATTAATAATGGATAAATATAATGCACAAGAGCCAAGGACTGTTAATACTATTAACAATGGAAATATAACATTATTATGTATACCATAACAACACTATTATACAGGGTGTCCCAAAAAAAAGTGACACTATAGAAATTATCTCATTGTTCTCAAGCCGCTCTTAAACGCGCGTGATCACACGCCTGGGAATTTAATGAACTTGTATTCACATTTAAGCATTTTAAAACGTTTTCGCTTTGTCCAAATATTTTAACGCCAGAGTCAAGCAAAACGATTACACTAATAAACAGTTTGCTTCTTTATTTTAAATTCCAGAAGCAGAAGTTTATGCACCTGTGGGATCAACTTAGTGCTAGGGTATTCAAATTATAACAATAGGATAAATTCTATAGTGCACTTTTTTGGGGACACCCTGTACAATACAATACTATATGTCATTTCGATGTTTTCCTTCGTGGTTAAGTTAATAGTTATATACCCTGTGCCTGTGAGCAGAGCCTTAATATCAAGTCTTCAATCATTTTCACGTTTTTCTTCGTAAATCATAACAACATTTGCCAACACTGAACATGCGTGCATCATTTTGTCATGATATTTTAACGTTCAATATAAACTTATTACTAACAAGTAAACATTGTCAACACCTTATACTAATAATTGGCTAAAACGTACCTGCAAAAAATAATTTTCTAACGAAATTATTGTCTTTTATTTGTGAAGAAATTATCGTCTTTCATATTTTTCATCATGGCGGAAAGTACAGAGCGAGAGCTCTACGGCGACTTACGAGCAATTACCGACAGACAGAAATCCAATTTCTTTTATATTTTGAATCAAGCTGCATCGTTATAACTCGGTCAAGGAAACTGGCACGAGTCATAACGTCAAAATCAGTTGTCAAGAATAGTGTGCTGCCTACGGCAGCAATAACCAAGTGTGGATGAAACAGTTCAACTCCACTCACACCCCATATAGCTCAAATATTTGGACGTTATAATCTTATAGAAAGCGAATTATTGTAATTCTTCAATAGGAAATAGTGCTACCATAAATAGCTAAATTGTGACATTCAGGGCTTCACTGTAATTTGTTGATCGATGTTCTTACAGTAATAAGCGAGAAATTTTCACTTGGACAGTGTTAATGTAATGCAATGTCTGCTTTACTAGGGAAAAATAAAAATAGGTCTAAAGCATTTGAGAGATTTCACTTAAATACATATTTAGTATCTAACCGTGTTGCAGTAGTGAATCTATTGTCAAATTCATTATGTGGTTTGTATTTTCTAATGTCAAACATAAGTTACAAATATACAGTCACATACAGTATTTGTAACATTCATGCTTTGACTAATCTTTCAGTAGGCTTTTGTCGGATTATTTTACCGTAGGTTTGATAACAGAGAGGTATACTTCTACATATTTCTTGAGCATCAAGTTTCAGCGAAGCCAATGACATGTTGGAATGGGAAATTTCACAGCGCTCATTTAATAACAGTCCGAGTAGCATTGTTTACATGCAAGGTTTGTTCCGTTTGTAGTTTGCGATATTTCAGAAACCAAAAGATCCCTCTATTTCGTTACAATTCCACATCTCAGTATTAAATAAATCCTTTAGGATAGACTTCAGCAGTTTTAAATAACAGCAACATCGGTTGCATTGGTCTAGAGATATACATTTGTAATGTTTACGACGATGTCGGTAATATCGACAACAAAATTACCGACATGGATATCGATGCATCACTATTTTGCAGACCGGCGATCTTCTTCGTAACCTACAGTTATATTAAATGACCGTATAGACGGTATAGTATATACATGAAGACCAAAAATAAGTCAAATGTCATATTATTTCGTTAAATGGGACGGGTAACTATACTCCGCAGTTCCATATATAGCTCTGAAAACATATTATGCCATTGCCGGTTATAAAAATTTGACTATATCTAGTGGATAGCACTATTCAGCTTTCGTACATGTCGCCCTTGAGCTATTGAAGAGTTACAGTAATTAATTTATCTGTCCATAAGATTATAACGTCCAAATATTTGAGCTATATTGGCCGGCGTGAAGTTGAACTGTTTTACGGCCTTAACGCGCTCTAAGACTATGTATATTTGGGAAAGCCTCAGAAGAAAAAAACACGCATTCCAAAGCCAAAGGGAGAAAGTTAAATATATGGAAATATTTTGTTTGGAACCCACAGCATTTTCTCAGGACCCACTACTTCTTATTCGGGACCCACGACTTTTTTCTCGGGACCCACGACTTTTTTCTCGGGACCCACGACTTTTTTCTCGGGACCAACGACTTTTTACCCACGACATTTTACCCACGACTTTTCACCCACGACCCACGACTTTTTACCCACGACCCACGACTTTTTACCCACGACATTCTACCCACAACCCACGACCCACGACTGTTAGATAGTCCCTATGAATGCTGACCCAAATCCTTACCCTGATCAGGACAAAACAGCGAGACATGAATCCATATCTCGTCTTCGTTCTTCTGCCTTCGTTCACAACGAAAAATTCGCAAATATTTTGGCAAAATTCGTTGTGAACTTCGTTCCGAACGAAGGCAGAAGGACAAAGACGGGATATAGTTTCATGTCTTTCTGGGTTTTTTTCTGGGTCAGGGCAAGAATTAGGTCAGTATTCATAAACAGCGACACATGGGAAGACACGTTGAGCAACCACCAGTGACGTCCAACTCAGTATGCGCAAGATAATGTGCAGACGGCAAAAATTGGCAAGTATACGCCTTCGTCTTCGTACTTCGTTGTCTTGCTCCAACTCTCTATTGACAATTTTCCGACGGGTCTCAATTTTCCGACGGGTCTCCCACTCCCCCTCCCCTCCGGCAACGGCGCCACTGCCGAGCCCGCATTAAAAATTCACTTGTAAAAAAACCAGATTGGTTTAAACTTTATCGAACCCTCATTTAATACATATTGAAATAATTAGGGTTAGAAAAGGTATGTGTTTCAAGCTGTGTGCCGCAAATAAGTGAACAAGTGATTTTAGGTTTCACACCGATGCCCATCAAAGCATATATTCTACAGAATTTTTGCATTATTGACAGCATGAAGCTATATAATCAAAGATTCCCTTTTTATACAATATATTTTATCAAGGGGCCGCCAAAATTTTTCCAGGGGGGGCCAAAATTTTGCCAGGGGGGGGGGCGGGTCCCCCGGCCCCAACCTCGTTCCCAGGGTCTTCTTAGAACGGCGCGAGGCGAAGGAAAGACCCTGGTTTCAGCTGGTCACGTGTCAACCAGATTCTGGGTGATAAATTAAAATGATACTACAGTCGAACCCCTATTAAGCGGACACCTTCGGGACCTCGCCTAAGTGTCCGCTTAAAAGGGGTGTCCGCTCAAAAGAGGTATGTAGAAAAACACAGCAGGAGGCAAAGGGGTGTAATTAGGTGTGTAATTTGAGTATCAAGACAGTAAAAAATATCAAGCAAATAATTAGCATAAAATGAAAATTTCTTTGTGCATAAAAGTTCATTAGCAAATGTATACGTCTCTCACAGTCATATAAGAAAGGAATCGATACAAGTTTGCTTCCGAGACTCACGCAGACGATAGCCCATTATAATGTCATTTACATAAAAATGACGTTAGAAAGTTCTTCCAAACCTCGAAATTGTGCGAATTCTGCCAGCCGCTCGACAAATTTAAGAGCTTCGGAGGAAGATTTAATGACTGGTTCGTTAAGAGACCAATCAGATCTTCGTTCAGTTCGTTGTCATCATCAGTGATTTCACACATATCTTTCGGCTCCTTGGCTGGCGGCTCACAGTCTTCGTTCGTCACTTCCTCAATAATCGT